CATATAACCCCTGTGGATTATATATAAAAAACAAAACATCCCAAATAATGAAAAAACTTAAAAGGAAATAGGACAGTAGAGATAGAGTAGAGGAGGGTGTCTAAATTAATTAATAAAAAAGTACTACTAAAAAGAAGCAAATTCTCAAAATTAATAACACTCCAGCGTTTCATCGATTTGTTACACGATAGAGAAAAATCAATGAACAAATTATCATAAAATTAAAAATAAAATCACTGTAAATAAGCCATCGGCAAATTGACACAAATGGATAAATCCCTGTTCACCGAAAAAACAAACTTAAATCACGAGAAAGGTTATTAAACTTAAAATGAGCCATGTCCAATAACGTAACAATAAAGGTCAAAATTCCTTGTCTTGAGTTAAAACGCAAAATGGCTTTTTCACGAACAAAAACCCTCTAAATAGTTGAAAAACTTCCTTTTTCTACTCAAATTACTAAAATCTACCTTTAACTGACGAGATAGATTAATGGAATACGTATACATCCGTTAATCACTAAAAAATATCCCCGCAACAAATACCCTTAGTCGATAGACAACGTTTCAACGCAGCATTTGGCTAACAATTCACCTTAAAGATTAAATAATGAAAACGCTATACCTTACCTATAACTAAACATTAAACCCTTCACTTGATAACTTCACTTCGATTAAAACAACTCTCCGGGGATAATAGAAGAAAAGACAGAGGTGGGAAGAATTTATAAAACAAATCTTAGCGGCTTTTTTTTTAGTTTAATAGTGACTTTTTCATAAGTATTTTACATTTTTCTGGGACATTTTATTTTCCTAATTCCCCTGCTATAGGAATAATCTTCCTTTTCAGGGTGGTCCGCCCTAATTACAAAAAATAACTATTTCCTAATGTGTCATGTGCGCGTGCGGGACCTGTGTGGCAGGTTGTGTTCCCCAAAAATATCGCCAATGTTGCTATTCCTAACCTCATCAATGGACAAGTCCAAGTATAAGGTTGGGACTATGATTTAGGGAAACCACAGAAACCTTAATCACGATATTGTACAAATAGTATGAATTTCTAATGTTTAGGGGGGTTGATTCCAGCAGATCCTGGAGTTCAGCGGTAAGGGGGAGGTCTTGGGAGTCTGAGAGAAGTCTCAGATTTGGTTGTGGCATTTTTCTTTTCGGTTTTCGAAAAAGTGGGAGTTGGTTTGGGCGACATGGGGTTCATAGTGTGTCTTGTGAATGTGTGTTGGTGAGTATACGTCTCTCGAGTGTGGTGAATTTGTGGGACAAGTGTGTGGAAAGTACGCCGTAGGGTACAGCTCTGTATTCGGCAACGAGTCGGATAAAGGAATTGTAAGTGTGAATAAGGGTGTTTGTGTTTCAACGCCCCATTCATCCGCACAAAGCCCCAAGGAGACTGGCTCGTTTTCGCATCTTATCAAAAGAGCGTTGGACATCTGAGAACCAGTTAAGTGTACGAGAAAATCGTACCCCCAAATAGTCAACTTCAGTCTGTTGAGCGAGCCTGATTCTCAAGAGATTTACATTTACGAGTTGGGGGTTCTGGGAGGTTCATTGAGAATTTGGGTGTTTAAAGACGATGAATTTTGTTTTCTGCGGATTTAATGAGACCCTCCATCTGCTACACCACTGGGAGTACTGGTTTAACAGATTTTGGGTTCGAGTATTTAGTTGGTTAGAATTTTTGGCTACCGAAATTAGAGCTGTATCGTCAGCGTATAGAAGGCATTTGGAAGTAGGGTGGTTTGTGGGGGGGGGGATGTCGTGAGTGTAGATGAGGTAGAGGAGAGGGGCCAGGACGGAGCCCTGTGGAACACCTGCAAGTGGGTTGAATGTGTCTGATAGGGAGTTCCCCACTTTGACGGTGATTTTTCTGTCTGTGAGGTAGGAGTGTATGAGTTTGGAGATTGGGGGGAGACCTATGTTCACAAGCTTTTTGACTAGTCCGGCATGCCAGACTTGGTCAAAGGCTTTTTGAACATCTAAGAGAACGGCTGAAGAGATTTGTTGAGAGTTTACTGCAGTGACCGCAGTAGTGTGAAGGGAGGAGATTGCGTCCTGTGTGGAGTGGTGAAACCATGTTGGGATTGAGGGATGATATTTCTTTCTTCACAAAATTCCCAGATTCTTATCTTGAGCAGAAGCTCGAGGAGTTTCCCTAGGACTGATATGAGAGAGATGGGTCTGTATGAATTTATTGATTTGGGGTCTTTGCCTGGTTTGGGGATCAATAAATGGTGTTGGCGGATTTCCAGGCAAGTGGAAAGTAGGAGAGGGAGAGACAGGAGTTTAGGAGAAGAGTGAGGATGGGAAAGATGGTTTCAGGAAGATGTTTCAGTGTTCTTCTGTGAATGGAATCAGGCCCGTAGGCCGTGTTTTTGCCTGCTTGGCAAGCATATTGGATGTCTTGGAGGGTGAATGGGGAGGCGAGGGGGTTTTCGACATCCACAGATGGGACTGGGGCGGCGAGTGTCTAAAGGACGTATTGTTCGGTCTCGTGTTTGAATTGTTCGTCAAAGTGGGAGTGTCGGGGGTTCTGAAGGTGGCTTCAAGGTGGGTTTTGTAGGCTAAGGCTTTTTCGTCGGGGGTTGAGTGGATTTGTCCGTCGATTTGGAGGTGGGAGTGTGATTTGGTTTTTTGACCCGTGATGATTCGGAATTTGTCCCAAAACTTGGAACCGTCTCTACGTCCAAATTAGAAGTGGTATTGATCCATAGTTGCTTTTTGTGTAAGGTGGTTTGGAGCCTGATCAGGGCGTTAAGGCAATTCCATTCGGTTTTGATGACTGGGTTGTGGGTACGGACATATCGTCGTTGCCACGGTGAAACCTCCTATGTGATATTTTATCACATTTTTAGATTTTTGTACCAGTTTATAGAAACTAACACTCTGTACAGTTTAGCGAAACCTCCCATGTAATTTTCTTTTAAAATATTGTGATTTTAGACCTCCCTTGTGCGTAATACATATAAGGCATCAGAACAAAATTGTTACGTTTTTATATATACTGAAAATTTTGATGAAATGTACATAGGAGGTTTCACCGCGACAACGACGATATTGTCTATACAATCGTCGTTTTTGGGAGATGAGGGTTAGGATGAATTGGGGGAGGGCTTTTTGTGCTGTGTTTATGGAAGTGATTGGGGCGGATGTTTCGACGGTGTGGGTGATGGTGGTTTGGACTTCGTCGACCATTGTGTCGATGTCTTGCGAGGAATTGAGCGGGCGTTGCTCAGGAATGTTTGCAGAGATGGTTCTCTAAAATAGTGGCCAATCTGCTATTATGAGATTTCAGAAGGTGTATATTGTAGCTCTTGGTGGAATGGGTGCAAGGAGAGATGTATGTAACATCAAAGGAAGATGATCGGGGGTGATTGTCTCTCCAATGAAGAATCTATCACCAACCAGTCCTGTACAGGAATCTGTCAGGAGAATGTGGTCTATGATAGATGATCCTTGGTGGGATACAAAGATCGGAAGTCGGTTTGAGGCTCTGAATATGGGGAAGTCTATTAGCAGTTTAGCTAGGCGTAGGTTTGAGGCGTAAGCTCCGAAAATGGTATGTCTGGAGTTCAGATCACCAAGCAAAACGGCGCGGGGGAGTGATGATAGGTATTCTATCAGAGATGTGGAGATGATTTGGCCTGGGCGGTTGTAGTATGAGATTATGGTTAATGGATTGTACAGCGGCTTTCCGATGCATTGCCATTCCAATAACCATACCAATATTTATTATCTTTTTTTGTTTGAATAATAAATATAAATATACGAAAAAATAAAATCCTAACGAGTATAAAATGCTCGTTACACTAATTAACATTTTAACATCTATAAAACGTTTCAAAGCAACTTTCAGGAAAAGTACCGTGAAAGTACTAGTGCGATGTTTTCTGAACTTCACTTTGTAACCTCTATGCGGTTGCATGGATATTAGAGTAACATTAAAAGTACATTGCATGCGAGCTTAAAGAGCCTAAAATTGCAACTTTACGTAAATGTGATGTTTTTGTGCTATCTGGGTCTTTTTACGGCACAACTCTGTGTGCTGGAGACCGGGAAGCCATAACCCAAGGTGGTTATGATGATAAGTATGGCAATGTCGGGTATATTCCAAAAATGACATTGATGGCAACATGGACAAGTCCATATTCTGAAACAAGGAGAGTATCCATGACTAGAAACCTTTTTACACAAGAACTTACTACTTGCGGTTATGTGGTTTAACCTTCAAACAAGTCATTTATTCGCTTTAACACAATCCTAAATGTACTACATAGCAATATGTATATAGGATACATTATCTGAATTAATAATTAGTGAACTGCAATTGTTATTGTTTCGCTGGTAGATCCTGAAATGGCGTGTAAACGAAAAAGATGCACTTTCCTTAACACTTTTATTTACAACACAACTATATACACTATTTACAGAGGTGTGAAAGATATGGCCAGAAGCCAGACTTACATAAGATGCCCAGAAGGCAGAGCTTGATAATTAATATATTATAGTGCAATAGAAATACAATCTCTTATGGCTGTTACTGCAGAACAGTTAACAGCTCATAGTGAAGTGATGGTACTTCCTGTCTGAATCAAATTAAGCAGGAAACCAAGTTGTCAAAGTTACCAGCTTAAATTAATAAAAAGTAACTAATAAAACAATAGTGGTGTAGGTTGTCTCCAATACTGTACTGTAACTGTTGACCTAGCCAGAGGTACAATTGCAACTACTAGTATGTAGTACTTAATTTCTCACAGCAAATCTATCGCTTTATTTATGTTAGTGTATATGTATGTACTTACATAAATGTGTAAGCGTTCTTAATAAATGAATTAAAAAAATTAACCGCAAAGATATACAAGGCTGATCTCACGAAGGATCTCCAGATCCTCCAGTAGGTCCAGTTTCCTAAAAATGTTTACTGGAACACTATGTAAATTAGAGGCAGGAGTGTTGAATTTAATGTGATATGACCAAAATAAATATAAGTTTACCTGGTTAGAAAAATTTATTTGCTCAAAAAAATCTTATAAGTTAGTATTTTATTAGTAATATTATTTATTGTTAGTAAAAAAATATATTTCTATAACTTCGTTATCTAAACAATTTTCCAGTTTTTTCACCACACAAGCCAGATGTAAAGTAAAGTTAACTTCAAAACTGGTCACAATTTAGAAAATATATCATCATTTCAACAAATTAACTCGCTCAGTATCAAAAATATCTTGTAGAGAAAGAAAAAAGTGAAAATAAAAAATTAAATGGTTAATATTAAAAAAAAGGTTAAATATTAAAAACAGAATGTAAAAATAAAAAATAACTAATTTATGGTGATTTCTTTGCCCGTGTTATACGCAGAACATCTTCAGACGTTAAAAGACAGAACGGTGTATCTAACTCTCCTAAAATAAAAACATAATTATTTTATATTTATAAATATTATTAATTATAATAATTATACCTTGAGAATCCAGAACCAAAACATAATTTTCTACTTCCAATGCCCTAGAAACTAATCCGAGATTGCTGCATTTGGGTAATTTGGAATACATACGATCCAAACAAGTAACAATTTGGTCAGTACGAGAGCTCTCACTAGAAATTAATTTATTCTCAATGTTTCTTCTGATAGCTACACCAATAACATGTCTAAAATATAATAAAATAATTTTCATTATTTAGAACGTTATAGAAAATCGTTGAAATATTATTTACGAATTGATATTAATGAGTGATGTTAATCAACGATTTTAGTATAAGTATTGTGACTAACTTATGTATTTAACGCCGTTTAATGGGTCTTATTAATACCCTTCATCGTTAAATTGTATAGTTAAATATTACATCATATACGAATTTTGCTGTTGGACAAACTTTCCAGCAATCACATGTCATTATAACATCATTTCAGGGTCACATTAGACCAATGAGGTTGAATAATATGGAGATGACATGCCAAAAAAAGCGACACCCCTTCTCCCACCCTTAGAAGCAATAGTTCTCAAAGAGCTGTCAAAACTTTTTCAAAATTCTTTTTTATTTAATATTTTTCATAAAAATCATGACCAAGTGTACTAAACCTAATTATAAATGATATAAAATGAAGAAACGGAAGAAAGGTCTGATTTAAGTTATAACAAGTTATTTTTTTCATAATTCCTAAGTTAAAATTTTATTACGATTTCCAAAAGACACAATATCTTAAAATTTTATGTAAATTCGTGGGAAAATACCATTTGAGGCCTAGACCAAGTATTGTGTTGTGTTCAATTCATTTTTAGGACGAATTTTTAGAGTTTAGGATCAGATTAAAGAAGAATGCTGTTCTGACATTACATTACAGTTTAGTTAGTAGAATAAATTGTATTTACAATAAAATTTAAATAGTTAACTGTATATAGAACTATAAGACAAATTTAGATATATCAAGTGACATATTTTGTAATCGCAGCAAGTGTCAAAACAATCTACTTTATTTATTTATTTAAACGGGCATACACCCTTTTACAATATATACATTTATAAAATAATAAAGTATCAACTTAACCTAACTAAAATAACAAAAAAAAAACAATTGAATGGTAAAATTAAAAATAAATTTAAATTAAAACAAAAACAACAAAAAACAAATTTAAATTAAATAAAAAAAAAACAATTGAAATAAACCCACAGTTCTAACTGATTCTAGGGCGTGACAAACAGAGTTGTCTCTTAAATTTATTGAAACAGGTTCCTATTATGTCCCAGTTATAATTATTATAAAGGCGCATAATTTTAGATAATGGGTTAAAATAACCGTAGTTTGTTCTATGCTGTGGAAGTTCAAACAAAACTACATTTCGTGTTAACCGAGCTGGTACACGAAATGGCAACGACGATAATATATCGTTACAATTTATTTTACCTGATAACACTTTATGAAAAAAAAAATAGGTCGTTAATAAATCTTTTTATAAATAAAAATTCAAGGTTTAAAAGTCTTACAATCGTTTCATAGTCGTAAGTACCCTGTGCGTATCCCATTTTGTGAGCGCAGATTCTCAGAAACCGATTTTGATCAGCTTCTAGTCTTTGTATATGCACCGAATAATGCGGAGACCAAACAACAGATGCATATTCAAGTGTGGATCTAACATAGGCTAAGAATAAGGTTCTTAATGCTGCAATACTCAAGTCTTTAGAGTTTCTATTAATAAAACCAAGTAACTGTAGTGATTTTGAAATGACTGAGTTTATATGAGGAACAAAGGAAAGATTGCTATCAAATACAACGCCTAAATCACGGATTTCTTGAACTTTTTGTATTGGATTATTATCCAAAGTGTAATCAAAGGTAATTGCTGTGTTAATCTTACAGAATGTCAAACTGTAACATTTATTAGGGTTCAATACATATTATATCAATATCACTCTGTAGTAGAATACAATCTTTGAGTTTATTTACCTCAATATACAATTTAAGATCGTCAGCAAATGAGAGGAACTTAATGTTGTCATATAAATAATTTACAAACAAGTTAAATAAAAGTGGACCCAAATGGGAACCCTGTGGGACTCCAGATGAAACCTTGATATATGAATGAAAATTCTTAATACGTACAATTTGAGATCTGTCAAGCAAGTAACTTTCTAATCACTTAATTAAGTATGGGGAATATCAAAAAAATGCAATTTAGATAGTAATAAATTATTATTGACCCGATCGAAGACTTTAGTAAAATCTAAATAAATTGCATCCAACTGCGAATGCGATTCAAGGGTTGTAACAATATCATGATGATAAATTAATAAATTGGTTGTAGTTGATTTTCCCTCTACAAATCCATGTTGATGACTATTGATTAAATTTTTACAATGCCAACGTATGGTCGATAAGCTTTTCAAACAACTTCGGTATGGTAGACAGTATGAAAATTGGACGATAGTTTTTAACACCATTTTTAGATCCACTCTTATGTATTGGAGTCACATAGCTGTTTTTCCAAAAGGTTGGAAACGTCGATGATGACAAAGATATATTAAATATTATTTGTAATGGAACGCATAATGTATATTGGCAACGCTTTATGAAATACGGGGGAATTCCATCGGGACCAGTATTAAATTTATCTTTGAGAGTACAAATACCATTAAATACTTCCTCTAATGTAAGCTTTATTAATGGAGTTGAAATATTGGCATTAGTGGTACCAGAACTAGCAAGTTGCTGCGATGGTATTTGATCTTTATTGTAATTAGCACTAAAGAAATCAGCAAATAAATTTACAATTTCCTGGCCGTTATTTCCTTCTGTGGTATTCAATTTAACAGATTCAGGGATGTTATTCGTTTTCTTGCGACTGTTTATGTAATTCCAAAAACAAGCGGAATTCGAAGTGAGCTGTTGATTGATATTGACCATGTAATTGTCGTAACATTGCTTAGTTAATATTTTGCAGCGAGCACGCAAATTGTAAAAATGTAAGTAGTTCACCTGTGACTTCGATGACTTATATTTGATATCTGCTTTTTTCTTTTCTAAAATCAGTTGCTTGAGTTCATAGGAGAACCCCAGCAAACAATGCCTTTAAGGGTTGATACTGGCGTGACGTTTCTTGCCGCATCAGAGAATTGTAGGGCCTGCAAGGCGGTACTTAATCATCCCGCATATTATATGGTAGGGCGGCCGCCAGACGGTCCGCTTGTTCCTTGCCGCCACCTCATTTAAGGGCCTTTTATGTGATGATTTCGGTATGATCAAGTTCAATTGCATATGTAAAATGGAGGCATGATTAAGGCTACGTGTATATTCCTATTAATATACCTTTAAAGGCGGTACGCATAAACTATGTCGTTTGGGCAGCGGGTAATTGTCGCATTGCCGATCAATTTTTACAGGGTGTTTCAAAAAAAAATAAAATAGCCTAAAATATAAATCAAAATATATTTTCCAATAAAATATGTACAAATAAAAAAATACAAATACAAAACAATGGACAATTTCAACTGAAGACATTTGCTAGGGGTGGCGACTGTTTTGGCAACAATCGGTTTTGTAATACAAGCAAACTGTAATTTAAAAGGAGACTGTAACTATAGCTATAAATAAAAGTTTCCTTTTAAAGCATAGTTTGCTTGTATTAGTTTCTACATAAACCGATTGGTGCTCTTAATAATCTTCCGTTGAAATTGTCCATTGTTTTTATACTTATAAAATAAATAAAATTCTTGTAAAATAAATCATTAAATTTTATGAAATAAATAAAAACTTGTAAAATAAAAAACAACTCTTGTAAAATAAAAAAATAATCAAAAGAAATAAAAAACATAACTCTTGTATAATAAAAAAACATAACTCGTGTAAAATTAAAACAAAAACAAAAAACGTTAATTTTCATCCGCCCTTTTGCGTCGGGACCTACCGCCATCTCTGTCATAAGCAGTCCTCAGCCACGATTTTATGACTTGCTCAACATTGTCTAATAATGCATTAGAACATATGGGATTTTTTCTAACTGATACTAAAAAAAAACAAACTGCAAAAATAAAGAAAATACACAATTAAGAAAATATTACCAAGGATCAGATTGATGAAATTTCTCAATTCCTTTAATCCGTTTTTATTGTTCCGGCCAGTCCAATTAGAGTTGACCGCCAGTTGGTTGGAAATGAGTTTGGTCAAAATTTTTCGAGTCGTCTCCCCAACATCTTTTCCTCCAACACAAGATAACCATTTACACTAAAAACATAATAAATGTAAATTATATTTGTATACAAGAAAAAAAAAATGGAAAAGATTTTATTACCGAACACTTTAAATAGCAGAATGAAAGAGAAAAAGAACCATAATTTTAGTTAACAAAATTGTCACTGATCAATTTTAAGTGTAATTAAACAGTTTACTATGATTACAAAGTTTCAAATAAAATTGTGGCTTGAAGATGTTAAAATACCAAAGTTTCTGTATACAACAAAAAAAGGTATTTTTTAAAACTATTGAGTAATTTTGCAACCCCGAAACACGAAAATAAAAGATTTTTAATAACAAATGGAAATAAAATAATCTACTTACTTTTTAATATCCTGGCTCATTGTCGAAATCACAGACTCGAAATTAATAGGTAACTAAAATTGTCTTAAACTTAAAACTGCATTAAACAAACACCGACCAGAGGTCAAGAAAAAATCATGAAAAATTGAGGTTATTGTTTCTTATTGGAATTGGAGGGATAATAAACACATACTTATAATAGGTATACGGAGCAAGAGAGACGTCCGACCTGTTTAACATAGGGGCGGCCATTTTTATACAAGCAAATACAGCAATATGAAAACTTGGTTGCAGATGTCTAGCTCTTTCCACTTTTAAATACATAATTTTGTACAGATTTTTTAAAAGAAATAATACAATATTATATTTGAATTAAATTTTTATTCTACAACAAATAAAAATATTTTAATGTTTAAAAATACATGTTAGGCTGATAAATAATAGGCCGACAAATAATAGATTAAATACCTAAATACTAATTTTAAATGACAAAAGTAGAGGAAGTTAAAAATATTAAAATTTCCAGGATACTTTAAAATTAAATTGATGGTTGCATATTTGTTTTATTTTAAACAATTTACTTTCTTCTTGTATAATTTCTAAAAGCTACAAATTTTTA